ATGAGATACAGGGGTCAGAAATAGTATTTTTTTTCTTCTTTTTTGAGCTGTCGAATTGATGTCCAAAATGGTGGTGGTTGAACTAACACGAATTACTGAATATAGCCCAATGACTACTCAGAAAGTCATACCTTACCATTACTTTAGCCGTATGATGCAGATGAGGATGCTTTCTTCCTTGGTTTAGCCTGTTGGTTAAAATGGTGTCACAACACTTGTCGTATTTAGGGATCAAGAGTAAATAAATAAACCAAGAACTAAAGATCCAAATCGCAAAACTAAAGATCCGAACCGCAAAACTAAAGATTCGAAAACTAAATCCAAACAACATATTGGCGAAAAAGCAGTAGCAACTAATGAACTTCTCATGTATATCAATCATAAATGAGTAAAATGAGTTAGTATTTCAAAATGAAAAGTGGTATCAGGTGTCTAGAAGAGTAAGCATACAATGCCTGGCGCCACACCCGTCATATCTGCTTAATATGTGCTTAACCTGCTGTCTTTGATCCCGGACGATGGTAATAAAAAGCTTTCAGTTGTTTGGATGGAACAGCAAATCGTTGTCCTCATATGAATTGCATAGGGGGATTGTTCGTCTTCACGTGCTCGATCAGATGTTGAAAAGTGGGACGCAAAACTTCCATTAAATTTAATTTCAAAATCCTTAACGTCTAGGCTGGTAGTACAATTAGTATCCACCGGTATGAGAATAACCCGACGTTCTAATTATAGGTAATAATAGCACCGAACATTTCATATGCCACTGTTCATCAAGTTCCTTCCGTTTAATGAGCAGTTATTAATTCGTCAGCCGACCACTGTCAAATCGAGCCGTAATTACTAGCTAGCACATTTTACCACCTAGCTATTACCAGTAGATAATAATTCAACAGCCATTTGGCAAGGAACTATTATAGGGAGCGATACGAGTTATATAGGTCTTATATTGCCCATTTAACCGTGAAAATGTATCTTTAAGTACAGACCCGTTCCCCAGTCTTGCTTGAAATTGAACATCGCATCCAATGATGATCCTACTTGTCTGAAATTATATTTCAAGGGATCTTTTCCCCTAAGTTTGTTATAAGTTTGCCAATAATGATATTCACATAAGCAATATATTAATTGAGGACGAGTCAGGTTCGAATATGTTCATAAAATACATAAAAATGCATGATGTTATTTATATGCTTACAGGGGCATTTATGGAGTTGATTTAAGTCTTGATTACAATTGTCTGAAAATCTAAATATTCCTTCAAATTTCTATAGGTGTCTTTTTTAAATATGGTAGTGTCTCAAAAAAACACGACTGGTCTTTTATACTTTCAAGCGCGGATAATTCTGGACACACATGGATTTGAAGGGTCAAATTTCGACGATGAGCTGTAGATATTATTACTGATTGGCTTAGCTAATAAAATTCCCGTTTCTGAGACAATGGTATGATTGGTCAAAAATATGGCGCATTTGTCCCTTTATGTAGTTTGGTTGACTCTTGCCATTATGATCCTGGTTAGATATTTGAATCATTTCATGCCTACTTCATTGATTTTGTTGGATGGTGAACTTATTAAGATAAGTACGTGTTGGAAATTGTCTAAACGCTATCACTTGGATGTTTTTCTGTGATTGATGTTAAGAGGACCCTTGCTGTAATAAAATTACATTTAATAGCTCATGGAATAAGTTTGTAGGATATTAACCTTGTCCAAATGGTTGTCGTAGTTTGAATATGACACTTAAAAACTGTTGTAAATTGGCATTTATATAGTGTTAAGAGCGAAAAACTATGATAGGATTTAGAAAAAGTGCACATTTCGATTTCTGTGAAGGCAGGGTTTGATTCTCCCCGGGCCTAGAGGGGAAATACTTCATTCAATTAGAATAAACTCTTTATTTTACATGGGTCAAAATTAGGCCCAATACACAAGGACATGGCCCTGTTTAACATTCAACCCATGGCTGATCCATTAGGGAATTGGAATAAGCTGTCTGGAGCTGCTGAGTATTAATCTTCTGTTCTGATCTGAAGTTAAATGTTTTTTTACACAACTTTCATACACAACTTTCATTTGCTTCGCAATATAGCTTTATAGACATTACAACGCGACTTCGCTGGAGCCGGAGGTTTGAAACATTGCTTAGGGAGGGGCTGATTGGGGAATGTAAGTGCTATAGATACGTCATTTAGAAATCGCAAGCGGAGCTGTCTGTTGGTCTCAATAGGCCCGATAATTGTCTTATGGTAATTGTCTCTATGATCTGGCAAATTTGGAAGCGAAAAGATATGACGCAAAACCCAGGTTCATTAATTGACTTCGTCAATCCTCCAAGTGTTTAATGTGAACATGGTTCAATAATTAAATTTGGAAGGTTAGCTTTTAATGGATGGGAACAACACCAAAACAGCCGTCTTATCATTCCGACCGAGCAGCTATTAACCATGTAATTCGTACTGAATGATGTGGGGCTTTTGTGGATGCCCTTCCTCGTATAGGCAACCATCTTTAAAGGACCGTTACTCGATAGCAGTGGCATCATATACGGTTCAGTCAAGCAAGCGTTATTACAGATTTATTATATTACCAACTGGTGTCCATGAAGTCATGATACACTTTTCGTATGATCAAATTCAATTTCATGTTGTCTACGAGATGTTATGTAATTGCTGGAATAATTAGAGGAATGGTCTAATCAAAAGGAAGTCGTATCTCAGATAAGCATTTCGCTTCACAGGACTAAGCTTGTTGACTAGCATCGCGAGTTCAATCACCTCGTGTAGTATGGCTGAATGCGAAAGCAAAAGTAAGCAAAACCCTTGAAAATCTGATGTGGAAAAAGCTAATAATTTAACCGTTTTATTGCAGGTTGTAAATATGGACTCTTTGAGCGACGTCTTAACCACCAAGTTTAATAACAAAGTGTACAATGTTTTAACACAATTTACACGTGTCGTCATCAGATGAAGTATGTAAAATTTTGAATCTGCAGCAGCTTTTTGTTATTTAACTCTGGAGCCATATAATATATGAGCCTTTTACAATGTTACAATCGTAAACGGGATCAACGCTTAAAACTATCGCGTCCAGGCCCTGTATTCTCGAAACGATCTTAGCGCTGGGATGTCCTAGAATCAATGTTAGAAGATAAGAACCTAGGACATCCTAGCGCTAAGATCATTTCGAGAATATGGGCCCAGGTTCTTAAATGTTGTTGATTTAAGCGATGACGTTGAATATTTTAATCTAATTCTATTGTCTTGGTGAATCTTGTTTTGAATCTAGTTTAAAAACCTGTTAATTTGGTGATAAAATCTGTTAATATGATTGTAATATGTGTTAATTCGCAATAGATTGAAGTTGATAAATATTGAACATTTATTATATTGTGTTATCAGTTTTAAGGCAATATTTATCTAATAGTAATAATCTTGTAGATTCATTATTTATTAAAACAAAGTACCAGCCTGTCAAGATTTATGATGTTTTAAAAGATGTTAAAAGATGTTGAGGCCACATGCGTGGTATGTAATATATTATGCAGTTGTCAGTTGATCGAAAGTATCTCTCTCATTGAAAACTTTGAAATCTTGAAGCCATGCGCTTTTCCAAAGTTCTGGGTATAGATATAGCACTGTGTCCAATTTTGGAATATAAATCCGTACAAGAAATGACAATCCCGTTAAGCAAGAATGTCGTCCAAAGAATGGCAAAATCGAGAGCAAAGGATGTATAGAAGTGGACTCCTCCGAAGAGAAGTGCCATCAGGTGTTTCGAAACTATTTTAAAGGTTTACTTAAACTTTCGTTATGCTTTTAGGGAGTTGTTCAAAAACTGCTGTGTGGATTTAAGCAAATAAAACGATTAATTGTACAGAAATGTCATCTACTTATTCAAAAGGTTCAATTTGTTGAAGCTGCTTTCTGAACAATTATTACACTTCGTTTTTAATTAAACCTTTTAAAGCAAATTCAGTTTGATCAAAAAAGATTCATAGATGTAAATAGCATATTTCAAGAATATTTTCAGATATAATTTACGTCCTTTTTGATAATGAAAATGTTTATTGCTTACACAAAATCGGAACGCTGGGCATCAGTGTCCAGTGATATTACCTCTCATTTGGCCACTATTCCCCTCGAAAATAACAGCGACAGCAAATTCTGGACAATGTAATGAACAGGAGAAAAAAACTAACATAAAACAAATCACAAGTAATGAGTACGATGGCTTTAGGGTAATAACACACTTACCGTATATTGTAAGAACAAAGGTAATTGCCTTTTCATTTTTCTTCTAACGTTTCTCGACTTATATTTCTTTTTTTCTTTTAAGTTCGGGTCAGTAAGTCTACGAGAACACATGTAATTTAAATGAAAAATTTAAAGTCACGAAACAAAATAAGGAAATTTCTTCCCATGGTTGATGCCAAGTTTATACTTTTAGTCGAACCCTCACTTATCACTGTTTAAACCTTTACCAATTTGACCAAAATCCTTTCTAAAATTCAAGGTAAATTTCCATTCGAAATATTAGTGTATAGTATGGGTTGTTAATTAAAATTGCTTTGTTTGAAGACTTGATGAAATCTCCAGTTCATGGACAAAGGAAAGTGGAGATTTACCAAGACATGAAGATGATTGACAGGATTTAACTACAGATAAGACTTTTAGTGTCAATAAACAGATCTCAAAATCAATATATTATTCTCTTTTTTCTTCTCTCTTTTCAGATTGCTTCTATAGCCATTATTATATTGGGATTATAAATTGCTAGCGATATGTCTTCATTATACCGGCCATAGTGTGATAAACACAATAAGACTAGCTTAGAACTAGCAGAGTGACATCTTCGGCTTTAATAGACCACTTAACACCATCCATTCCCCAATAATGTCTTATTGAACGCTTTTATCTCTTCAACATCGACGTTACTAGGGAAGCTCGCGAGGAAGAAGGCGGTACCTGTTGTTAAGGGAGGTAACTCAATCAGGAAAATGAGTCGACCGTCACCTTCGGCCTACCTCATCGCAGTGTATGTGGCCGTGCCAGCTGTGGTGTTATTGCTCGCTATTATAGTGGTTTATATTTACTGCACCAAAAGACATCGACTCAATTGGTATCAGAGGACGTTACTCGAGGAATATGATCGCGGTACGCTTGGACCGTTACTGTCAGAAGGAGCTAAAACGGGACTAATGTCCGGAAAAGGCGGTCGTGGTATGCGATCTAGTAGCTTAAAATCTGAATGGATGATTTACGTCAAAAAAATGGGATCCAGTCCCAGTTCACCAACTAATGATGCCAGTGAAAAGTTTTGGGTACCACCAAATGTGCTGGAACGTAAACGTGCCCAAAGCTTGGTACCGTCTTTATCGAGACAGGACTCCGATGAAGGTAAGACATTTTTTTTATATGTTTATAGCAATGCCAAAAGCAAAGTAACAATTACAAACTGCACACTTCCTTAATTCGCGTAATCTTTTTAAAAAATGCATGAATTGGAATTGTTTTGTTTTAATTCGAACATTTGAAAATCTTTTCAAAAAATCGTTTTATCAAAAACTTTAATAAATTTTAAATCTCGAAGTGATGACACAAACATTATTATTTTTCTCATTTGCGGCTAATGACAAAACAAACATTGGACAATCATGTATTTTATGTAAAGATCTTCAAAACATAAACATTGGACAATCATGTATTTTATGTCAAGATCTTCAAAACATAAACATTGGACAATAATGTATGTTATGTAAAGATCTTCAAAACATAAACATTGGACAATCATGTATTTTATGTAAAGATCTTCAAAACATAAACATTGGACAATCATGTATTTTATGTAAAGATATTCAAAACATAAACATTGGACAATCATGTATATTATGTAAAGATCTTCAAAACATGAACATTGGACAATCATGTATTTTATGTCAAGATCTTCAAAACATAAACATTGGACAATAATGTATGTTATGTAAAGATATTCAAAACATAAACATTGGACAATCATGTATATTATGTAAAGATATTCAAAACATAAACATTGGACAATCATGTATTTTATGTAAAGATATTCAAAACATAAACATTGGACAATCATGTATATTATGTAAAGATCTTCAAAACATAAATATTGGACAATCATGTATTTTATGTCAAGATCTTCAAAACATAAACATTGGACAATAATGTATGTTATGTAAAGATATTCAAAACATAAACATTGGACAATCATGTATATTATGTAAAGATATTCAAAACATAAACATTGGACAATCATGTATATTATGTAAAGATATTCAAAACATAAACATTGGACAATCATGTATTTTATGTAAATATCTTCAAAACATAAACATTGGACAATCATGTATTTTATGTCAAGATCTTCAAAACATAAACATTGGACAATAATGTATGTTATGTAAAGATCTTCAAAACATAAACATTGGACAATCATGTATTTTATGTAAAGATATTCAAAACATAAACATTGGACAATCACGTATTTTATGTAAAGATATTCAAAACATAAACATTGGACAATCATGTATTTTATGTAAAGATATTCAAAACATAAACATTGGACAATCATGTAATTTATGTAAAAATATTCAAAAACATAAACATTGGAAAATCATGTATTTATCAAATTCAAAACAAGTTGTACTGGAATTCAAATCTTGTAACCGATATTTGAAAAAAATCGTAGAACAGCAAATATACAAGTGTATATGCATTCTTTCATCTTTCGCTTACAATGTTGTGACGCATTTTTCTGATAAACTTAAAAAAAAGTCGGGTCAAAAGCAAGTCTTCTGCAAATCAAACAAATAACAACGACTTTTTCACTCTCCTTGATCATAAAGCAAAAACAAAATACTTTGATGAACTGTTAACTCACAAGGGATATAGTCTAGGGACTTTTTGCTAGTTTATTTTTAATTCGTTTTGTGTGTATCCGTGACACTCATAGCGTTTACGTGTATTATGTTCCAAGAATCGTCATTTTATATCGACTTAAGCTTTAAGACGCAGTTAACCACCCACTTCCTATTTGAAAAGCAAAAATTGTTCTGATGTAACGCCTGCAATAGAAATTTAACTTCGATGAGCAGTTTATTTTCGAAAGACAGCCCATGGTATAAAATCTTGTTATCTATTCACCAAGAGGATGACTTCGTGGAAGGGCTATCACTTGGTTAAACCACTGAGTACTTCTGCCTGGACCAGTTCATTGCAACTTCCAGATCAAGGCTGAAAGTTTCTCTCTGATATTGGGCTGTGATTTTTTTTTTTGAATAACCAAAATTCTATTCATAACTGAAAGGGATTCAAAAACAGGCTTATTGTATGTCGTCGTTGTACCAAATTACATATATGTATACATATTCAACCATTAATACCTACTAATAACGCTGTGTCTAATCATTAATGTTCTTTGTGATAGGACTTGCTTGTCCAATTTTAAATTTATAACGCCGTCTGATCTTTAATGTCCTTCCTTTTAGGACTTTCTCTTCCATTTTTAAAAATCATAACGCTGTCTAATCTTTAATGTCCTTCTTTGTAGGAATTACTCTCCCGATTTTTAAATCATAAAGCTGTCTAATTTTAAAATATCCTTCGTGATAGAACTTGATTTTGAAATTTGAAAATCCTAACGTTGTGTAATATATTTAATGTCCTTCGGCAAAGGAATTATTTTTCTAATTTTTAAATTCCAACGCTGCCTATTTTTAATGTCCTTCGTGATAAGGCTTATTCTTTGAATTTTAAAATCCTAACCCTGTCTCTATTTTAATGTCCTTGATAGGATTTTAAAATCATAAGTTGTCTGATAGAGAGAAAAAAAACTCTCAAACAAGCGACCATTTGATTGACTCTCTGAACCCTGCATGAGTGGACGTTATTTCTGTCATTCTTGCGACATTTCAAGAGATTGGTAGTGTTTTCTCTCATTTTCAACAGGATATTACTCACGACATGAGGTTGTCTATCATTATTTCTTGATATGACAGATTCCATTTATAACGATTTGAAAGACTGAAAAAGGGCAACACATCTTAAAAAGATGAATGTCGGTCAAAAAAAGCGATTGACATCATTATGGATTGAACATCGATAAAACATTTATTTTTTTAACAATATTTATCTATGAAGTACAAAGTATGCACATGTATATACAAGCTTTTATGTGGACATTTTTATTTAATTACCGTTAAGGTCTACGGGTGTTACTTATTGAATATATTATAATTTGATAAATAAGCATACTTTTTACGTCTTATTGAGTGGGCACTGTTTTCTACTTTTTTGTAATCGATCTCCAGATTAACTTTGCTGAAAACGATCTTTTGGATGGGTTTCCATTTATACAAACACTCATAAACATCCAAGTTCATATTTCTAAAAATACATGTTTCTTATCAAATTATCTTGAATGAATGTGTTGTAACGTTAAAACACATTTGACTTGATGAGGATTTTATATCCAAATCACGTGTCGGTAGCATATAACTGAATTCTCCTTAACTGCTGTGGCAATCCGGAAGTGAATAATGCCAAGCGTATTTGATTTTTTTTTAATTCTGCGAGAATGAAAAGACACCGAGACTTGTTTCCTATTTTTCTGCTCCAGATTGGCTAATTGGAGTGCAGCGGAACCACACTACATATTAATAGACATTATAAAACAACATGTTGAAACAAGAAAAAAACTTCCGAAGCCATTAAAGAAACAAAGGTGGATCTCTTCTCCGGCCATTGCACTTTACATTGACGGGTCTTCTGTGACACAGACGTCTGAAAAGACTGGACTAAAAACAGAACCAGAATGATTGTGTCCACCAGGATCTTTACAATGTTAAAAGTGAGAAATTTGCTTTATATTGAGATAAATGTCTGAGAATGGCGGGGAATGATCGATCACGTTCCATTGTGCGTTGGATATTTTATTGAGATAAGGTATCAAAATAGTCTACAAATCTCTCCTACTAAGACAGAACTAGTCGGTTTAAATTCATTAGGTTGACCTTTTGAAGGGTAAAGGTGGTACAATTCTTCTGGGATCGCCATATTTACCACGGTAATCGGCCTTGAATAACCACACTAAGAATAACAAATCTTTTCATCAACAGCACAGATTTTATAATAGTATCAAGAACGACAAGCGGTCGGACTTTTATCAAGTCAAGTTTCAGGCAGCCTATTCTCAAAAAGATGTTAGCGCTGGATGTCCTAGAATCAGTCCTAAATTAACGTACTGACTATAAGCACCGTCACCTTCACGATGCTTTTGTCTTTGTTTCGTTCTTAATCGTACCGTTGTTATGCCGAATATGAGTTTCATTCGTGTTGCATATGAGCAATGGATTGTTTCCACGCTAATTTCTTTTCGAAGCGTGAAGCCATGTTGAGTGTCAAGAATGCTATTAGTGACTTCTTTGGCTTTCAGACGCCGATAGAGAGACTCTTCCAAGTTAGGATAGGATCGTTAAGATAGGATACCTGTAGGATCGTTTAGAGAGAATACGCAGCCTGGCCCTTTGAAGGACACCGGTGGTTAAATTTGTACTGACATAGTGTATTCGACTACTCACTCTTAAAAAAGAGTTCAATCGTACTGTTATCGAGAAAAATAGGAAGAATCATTTTTATTTACAATAACAACCTAGACTCATTACGATCTGTCTACCTTTTCTAACTTTCAGACATTCGTTTACCCGGATTAATGGCAGCCATGGTCAGCTGGGATGTCTGGCATAATGATGCAAGATGTTTTATTCAAAATCACTAGACTTTCACACGCCCATCTAACGGCACATCTGCAAAACCATCTCCATTTTTGTAATTACATGGTTTACCTCAATGCTTTTGTTTTTGGTAATATTTAGGGAACTGGAGGGTTATGTAACCCTGTAGTGAAAAGTGTTTTTATTAGATTTACATTAAAACCTGTTCCTTAGACAGATATTAATATTTAATAATTGTGCTGATCAACTGCAGGTGGAGTTTAACGTCCATGGTAGGCTTAAACAGAGGCACTCTTTCTAGTTATTGTAGAGCGATCTTTAACGTGTTTTACATACATGTTATAAAGAAATAATGTAAATAGCAAACCACTTTTCCGCAATAATGTTTCTTCTAGTAAAACTTTTAGGTTTTTTTGTGGTTTGTAATATTTTATGCCATTCATTTTGGTTTGGCTCTTGTGTTTTTGAGGTTGTGAGTTAAAAACTCACGATCAGTCATCTTTTCGAGAGCGTCTCCGTCTGTCTACAGACATGTGAAAGCGTGCTTTTAAAAATATTATCAATAATATTTCCGCGTGGGAGATGGAATTATGGTCGAAAATGAATTTATTTCCTCCTTGTAATGGTTAAGAATTA